TCACATAATGTTGCATTTCATAATGTCCATAAACTCATTAGTCAGATAAAAAAAAACTCTTGAGAGCAGTATTTTGATAAATAGGCCTAAATGCACTATATTACATACTGTAGGCCTATTTTATGTATTTTTACTTAACGTGTCTTCTAGTGATGCGCGGATGAGCTAAAACGTCACCCGAATCCGCAGCTTCAAATAAATTATGCACCCGCCACCTGCCCGCACCTATATTTTTGTCTGATTTAGATAACCACACCCGACCTGCACCCGATCGTCACATTCAGGGTTCGTACGGTCATGAAAAACCAGGAACAGTCATGGAATTTTTTGAAAAATAAATAAACCCAGAAAGTTTTGGAAAAGTCATGGAAATCTATTTCACAATTATCTGTATTAATGTTTAATCAGGTCTTGAATTTCGGTGTGGGATTGCGCATATATCGCATTACTCATTCCCACAGCTTTCGATTTTAAAATCAGGGAAATTACTGCAAAACATTTATTCGATATAGCGTGCAGGTTAGATGAGTAAATAAATCCACACAAACCATCAGATCAAATCAGTCATTTGAGCGATTCAGCTGTACTGCGTCCTCTCTCTTTGACCTTCTCTTCACATCAGCGCATCTAGAGCTGCTGCACGCTGCGATACAAGACTTTAGCTCGCATTTCGGGACAGTTGACAGAATTGTCAATTGCCTAATCGGTCATTGTTGCATTGTCACAAAAATGTATTATTGTCTTTTTAAGCCATCCGGTACTCGCTCTCTCCAGAGGCGCTTTTCTGTGCGCTCACAGTCACATCCAAAGCACGCGCTGCGAGCACCAAATTAAGTTTATCAAAGCAAGGCTTGTTGCGCTTAAGCGGCCAAATACACACAAAATGACGTCAAAATGGTCATCCTGGCGAGTATCCTCATAAGCACTGCCGTTTTTTTCTTAAATTAATGTAAACAGTTGTGAAAGAAAACGCATGTGTATCAGTATTGGATCTGTGAAATAGGTCTTTTGACAGCAGCCTAATAAAGCTGTGCCATCTGTCATTAATGTTAATCAAACAGCAAAAGACAGAGAAAATCCCTCACTGTTCTTGACTAAATAATGTTTTGTTAAATAACTTTAATGTTAATTTAGGCCTACAGTTTATTCAATTTCTGTAGCCTATTTAAAACACGTTCATATTTTAGAAAATGTAGTTAATATTTGCATCATTAATGATTTATCTTATCCACTCGCGACCCACCCGCAAATAATCAGAATGCATTTTTTTATTACCCGACTCGCGGATTATCCGCAGCGCCCGCGGATATAACCGCCATCCCCGCATCACTAGTTTCGTCATTATTTAATGTATGTTTGAATACATTTGTCATGAAAACAAGTGAATGGTTCATTTGCAAAAACAGATAACTGTTTTTAAAAATGTTCAAAAATCATGTTTTTTTTTTTATCCTGCATTCCAGTTAATATCAGTCAAACTTATCTGTTATCTGTTTTTGCAAATCGTTTTTATTCATTTGTTTGCCAAGTGTTTGTCATGTTTTGACTATAAAGAATAGTTTAAAGTGCCCCTATTATGGGTTATGAAAGGTTCATATTTCGGTTTTGGGAGTCCCCAACAACAGGTTGACATGCATGCAAAGTCAAAAAACATGTTCATTGTCTTATAATATGCATTTATTTTTTACATTACTTGCTCAACGACTCCCAAACGATTCGTTCAACGATTCATTTTTCAAAACCCCTCCTTTGCGTGACGTTAATCTGCGGTGATTGGTCCGTTTGGTCTCATTTCTATTTCATCTTGCCTGCAATGCCTGATAAAGCAGCGTTTGTGAGCGCAGTGCTGCTTTGTGTACCGCTCCAAAAGCGGCACCTAGTGGCAAAGAATGAATTTGCATTTTCATTCAGACCAACACGAAAAGACCAACAAGTGGGCGGGCAATATGCTAATGTTTCATGTTGACCTCAAGATGAAACGGCTTGGGATTCATTTTAAAAATGACTCGTTTCAATGATTCAGAGTCAACTCTTTCTTTTGAGAGACAATAACTTTATACACGGTGCACTTTCAGATTTAAAACTTTGCAGGATGTTTTCATTCACTTAGAGCTGTGTTACACACTGCATAAAAGGTAATTCTCAAAAATACATAATGGGGCACTTTAAAACCACAATTAACTGGCTGGTTTCTACAGCTTTTACCCAGGAGCGAAAATCTGCCTTTAAACTTGAAAGAAATAAAAATTATGACATTTATCATGATAATTATCGATGTTGACTGAACAATTTTATTGTGATAATTTTTTGGCCATATCACCCAGCCTTAGAACAAATTCTTAATCTGTGGTCACAAAATATATTTTGTCTTCTGCATGTCATGTGTGAGACTTTGTGTATTTGAGAGCAAATAGATATCAATATTGATGCATTGTTTGTACATCATGGTAAATATAACTTTTTCACCTTCACTCTCAATCTTGAGGTGTAGGGGCCGACCGATATGTGATTTTCAGAGCTGATGCCGATACCGTTTATTACAGATCAAGTAGACCGATAACCGATATATTTCTGGTGTAAAAATGATAATTAATGTAAAAAATTAAGAATAACAAGGGCTCTGACAAAAACTTTCTTTAAATGCTTTTAAATTATCGGCAAATCGGTTTTGAAAATGACTGATACAGTAAGCATAAAAATACTTAATATCGTTGCGGATAATCGGCCAGGCCGATAACGGTCGACCCCTATAGAGGTGTTGGAGCTGAGAAGGTGAGTAAGAGTAAAAATAAACACTGAGACCTGCTTCAATAACTGCAGACAACCTTACTGGACCGTATCCAGAGAGTCTGCTGCTACTATATCAGCTGTGTTTCACACGTTCACACTGACTGTGTGTGTGTGTGTGTGTGTGTGTCGCTGATGGAGAATTTTCTTCTCACTTGTGTAAACTGTGACAAGACCTAAAAGCAGAGAGAAAAACAGGTCAATAAACGAGTTTGTGCTTTCAATTCAGTATATCAGTCAAGTCATTGAGATGTTAGTTGAGCTCAGTGCAGGTTTCATTTATCAGAGTGTGAAGCTGTTGTGGAGGGAAAATGGCGAATAAGTTGCTGATGGAAACATTAGCACTTCACGTGGCGATTCGAGCCTCTGATGCGTGTTTCCCCGCGTCTCCCCCGGGCTCCCACGGCCCAGTTAATGTGCTGGAGGAGGGGTGGAAGCCCTTCAATTATAGATGTGTGTGTTCATGCAGTGTTTGTGTTTCCCCCAGAGTGCTTGCTAAGCATGTTTGTGTTGGGAAGGCCAGTACAGATGTATCCTGTTATCTCACTTGTAACTGTGCCCACTCTTGAAATAGCTTTTCTTAAACTGTCTCACACAACTGTAGCGCCGGACCATCAGGATGAGTGTGTGTGTGTGTGTGTGTTCCTTTGGGTCTAATTAAGCTGGTCAGAGCATCTCCATGCTGCATGACTAATCAATACTGCTGCAGGAAGACACATGCAGAGACTGTAACACATACAGTAGGACACACATTCACACTCATGGTTACACTGTACTCACAGGATGTCCAAAACAACATACATTATACTTTCCTCCTCAAAACAATTGCACATTTGAACAGTGCATTTCATGTAGCTATAGCACACACAAGCTTAGGGTTGCCAGTTCCAATTATAACAACTGAAACACTTCTTCCAGGAGCACTTGACTAACTGTCCTTGTAACAAGAAGTATGCTTCAATGTATACTTGAATTAACAACAGTATCTGTTAAAATATTATTTCTGGCATATATTATTGCTGTTTAGTGATGACGCTACGCTTATGTATTATGTTGCATGCATGTTGATATTGCGTTTTACAATTGTAAATGAATTCAATGAATTGTCAATGAATTCATAATTCAAAAAGACTTATAAATCTGTCTGGAACTCATGGCAGTTATTCGTTTATGTATGCCACAATTTGTGTTACATGGGATTTAAATGAGTGTAAACTGTTTTTTTTTTCATGTGGATGTGTCAGTTAAAGATACAATTTGAAACAAGGTTTTGTTGTAATAAATTTTAATTTTAAAAAAAGGGAAAAAAGAGAAATAACATTCTACTAAAATATCATTGTTTTTGTTTAGTATGTAGGCCTATTAAAACTATCGTTAATGAAATCATTAAGTTGAAATGGCATCCGAACCTGAATAATTAAGTTCCTTGTGATCCCCAACCCTAGTGAAGCCTGTAACTCAAGAATTGTCATACGGCCCATAGAGCGATGCTTAATGACACTGACAGGGCGAAATACATAATGATCCTTGCTCGATGCTCATTGGACAGTTTCCCTGATCAATGACCATCCAATTTCCAACCTCTAGTGTCATTCACAACCCATGCATTTTATTGCTGTGGCCGTATGAACTGGCATTGAGGAGACAAGATGCGCTGCTTGATTTGTCAATAAAAAGACAGAAAATGCCAATAAGCTGGAAGGAAAAAAGCATACATAAGAAAAATGGCTTGTTCATATAAAGATTGCATTTTTTAAATATAGTCTATAGCTGGAAATGTCAACCTGAAATGAAAATGAACAGTAGTTATTTAATATTCAAGGAGTAACATTTGAGAAAAAAAAAACATTTGGCTTTACAAATGATTTATCTGGGTGAAGTTTAAAAAAATATATAATTTACAGGTAATAAAAGTAATTGATATCACCAAGCCCTTTTAAATGTATTTAATTTTAAATACATTTTATGATTGCATATTATAATTGTAGCTAAAGAGACTGAATACATTGTTACATTAAATGTTTTCAATATTTCCCTCATATTTCGTAATCGTTGCATCAGTGATTGCGACATTAAGTCTTTAGTGAACTGAAACAGTGACCACAGAGCCAGTATGCAAACTGAACCGTGAGAAATTTGAAATCTTTACACTGCTAATGAACTCTATGACCTCTGTGTCATCATGTTTCTAATTCTCACAATTTGTGTTTCAGGTGAAAGTGCTCAATAGTTTGGCTGCACAAGGATTCACTGGTCATGCTGTGCTTTGGAGGGACAAGAAGAGACGCTAAATAATAAAGGACGAGAGAGTCGAGAGAGGAGTCGTCAGACAGCAGCCGCTATCATGTCTCGCCATCAAAGCCGAGCCACCAGCCTGGAGGAGAAGGGAGCCACGCCCATCCACAAGAGCTCCACCCCCTTACACAAGAGCTCCACCCCCACTCACAAAAGCGCATCCTCTTCCTCTTCATCTCAGAGAGACAGTCGACAAGTAAGACCTGACAGAGTTTGTGCTACAGTGACTGCGCACATTTTCAGAGTCATTCAAGAAATAATTTTCAGATTCTTTTTGTCCATGTGGACTAAAAAAAAAAAAGATTAGTCGGTGCATGCGGCATGCGGCGTTTGGCTGTGGGGAAAAAAAGATAGTCGTCCTACATTTAAAAACACTTGTTGATATCACGTTCGAGTTCATGAGTTCGCCTACCAATGTATGAGAGGAACACAGCTTTCACTCTCAACCAAACTAACATTACTAGCCAATCAGAAGTTTTTGCTCTTGTAAACACGAGACGCGTGAATTTAGGTAAATGGGTGCAGAGGCAGTGGTGGTTTTGTAGGCAAACATTAATAATAATGTTTAATTACGTATTATTTTAATTAATACGCGCATAATAGTATCCAATTGCAGAGTCGCAGCTGATGAATGGAAAAGAAGCCTGGGTCTTGATCGCGACACATTGAAAAAGCTGCGAGGCGCAATGGTCAAAGATTTTCATCTAGCATCATATTTACATAGAAAAGCTATTAAAAAAGCAGCAGAGCTTTGTAAACAGCTCAGAGTAATCACGTCATCTCCATAAGAATGATATGATTGCCAGAATGCATTTACCTGTATTTTTGAAAAGGTCCTGTTCACACATGATCTCTTAA